AAAAAAAACATTTATTCGGCGAATAATATGACATATCTACACAAATTTAACCTCTTTTATTTAACAAGAATGAACAATTGTTTTCATAAAGAGCAACGGTTTTAAGGAAATATGCGGGATAAGTCAATAACACTATTATCACATTGAGAGAAAAATTATATTAAAATCAACAAATATTTCTTTGATGGGTACCATTAACATATTAACTTAAAGAGTTCTAGATTCTCTTTATTTAAATCAAATATTGTTTACCTGATTTAAATATATAATATTTGGTTTAAATAAAAAGAATATAGATTGAAGTAAATATGTTAATGGCACCCATCAAAGAAATATTTGTTGATTTTAATATAATTTTTCTCTCAGTGCAGCTTGAATATCTTTCAACCAAAAAACGAAAGTAATCTTAAGATCTTCAAAGCTACGTCTCCCAGTAAAAAAGTAGTTTTTATTCTAAGTAGAATAGCTTCAAAAATCTCTGAAGATTATCTTTGTTTTTTGCTTCGAAATATTCAAGACGGTTATATACAGTTATCCTTATCCTGTATATTTTCTCATGTAAAAGAAGTTTTTTTCTCAATATAAAATATACATATTAATATTCTGTAATATGCGTCCTGAAATATGTATATATTAGTACAAGCAAATATGTTATCAGCATCCATTACGATTAAATATTTCTTATTTATTTAGATATTTTTCTCTCAGTGCACGGAGCTTCAGCTAACGGCGATATCGTGCAAAAGCGCGTGATGTTTTCGTTCGTTGGGAAAACATATTTTTCGCCAAAAGCGCAACCATACATCACTTTTCATTCGCTCGACCCTTTAATTGCTGAAGATCGCAAAGGCAATTGAGTTTGCACGCGATGGTCGCACGCGTGCAAACAAACAGCGCGAAACGCTGCGCGCAAATTGAAACGGCCGCGAACGCAAAGCGGACACGCGCGGAAAAGCGTAATAGAGCGTGCGGAATCGCTGATGCAGAAACCGAGCAGGTGTATCAATTGTCGATACACACACCTGCTGTAACCCGTTCCGCGTGAACGCAGAGGAGAGTCGCCTCAAACGGACGCAAACGTCGCCGGAGCGATCAGCCGTGATCGCGCGACAGCTACAATCAATTCGCCCTTGTATCGCTGCTTTACACGCCCTTACGCGCATATACATATGTGTGTGTGTGTATGTGTGCAATACGCGATCGTGAAAGCACAGACGCATGCATGCATCGCAAACGTAGCCGGAGTCGCGATTATACGTGACCTTATTGAGTCTGTCACGGTCGTCGTGATTCCGTAAACGAGATTCCCATCACGATAACCTTACTCGTCGCACAGAAGATTTTTGGGAAAAATTGCTATATAGAATATTATATCCGAGAGATAGATCGACATCCTGCAGTAATGGATCCTATCCTTTCACTTCATACACTGAGAGAAAAATGTTTGGTATTTATAACTATAATCATATAGAGAAATAAGTTTCCGCCAAATTGGACATCAACTATATTTTTTAGTTGTTCCAACACGAAGATAGTAGTAGTAACATGCATGTAAGGTTATTATCATTAAAATTATAGTACGATTGACTAAAAAATGGTTGTCTTGACCATAATTTATAGTAATTATTTTCCTATATGATTAGTTACAAATACCAAACATTTTTCTCTCAGTGTATGTGCTACTTCAGGAACTAAAATATGCTATTAAGAAATTTACTAATGTTGTAGCGCAATTTGTTATATTCCTTAGCTGTTATATTCCTATCTATATACATATAAAATAGAATGTCTGTCTATTCCCTACACACTCCTAAATCCTTTGAGCGATCTGAGCTAAATTTTGCATAGTTACTCTCTAAGAAAATATATTTATAAATATTCCTGCAGAGAGAAAATATAGGCTACATAAAACCTGGACATCCCAACTCCTCCCCTTGACATTTTGTGATAACCCGGGCTTTTAGCCGGTTTAGTTAGTAATACATATATTCCCTCTGTGTGATTCATAAATGATAAATCTGTTTGCACAAGTAGATACGCGAAGAAAATTTTATAGTAAACATTACTACAGAGTTTTGTAACCAAGGAATAGATTGTCATTCTGCATAATTGACCATCCTTTCATTTTATATGTACCTCTTATATTTAGGGGAACTGAGACTATTAAAAAATATGTTATGTTTCTAACGAAATTTATGATATTTCTTAGTAAAATAGATATTTTATTGACAGTCTATTCCTGCGCTAGGAATATAGTAAAATTGAAAGGAATTTATATGAAAAGAAAAACTATAACATTTTCTCTCCGTGTGGTGAAAGGTGGTACATTGCAGTAATAATTCAACGCAAAGCGCCGAGTACCGCGGGAACAAGCGTCTAATTGCGTCATTAAAAAGCGCGAACGGCCGCGCGAACGAGCAACGCGCTCGAGACAAACAAAAATTATTTTCCGTTTAAGCAGGTTACACGATCGTTCATCTCGCCAACGGAGTGACTACGTTCCCTTTTATTTCCGTTTCGTTTGATAATTCGAATATTTATACGGTGAAAAATAATATTTGTTGTAACCTGAATTTGATCAGTTAAAATAATTCACGTATAATTCCAAACTCTAAGTAGATGAGTGGGTAGGCAAGTGGGCGTACAAAGAGAAAAAGAGAGAGCAAGAGACAGAGAGAGAGAGAGAGAGAAAGAGAGAGAGAGAGCGCATCTCTCATAATATTATCTCTTTCGTTAATCAAGTACGAAATAATCTGCTTTTAATTACTGATTTCTCAATGGCACTCACGTTTTCACATTTCCAGCTCGAAAAGTTCTTCCAATTCGAAAATCCAATTGCGTCGGAAGTCACCGTGTTGATCTAAAACACAATTCGTATGAGTGTAAAACATTAATCGCAGTAACAATTTGGGGAGCTAAGTAATTTTTATCAAACGAAGTGGAAACTCAAGACGTTTCACTTTGAAGTGATGGTTATGAGAGCTAATATTATCTCCTGATATTACCAATCTTAATAAGGAGTCGTAACAAAGTGCAGATATAAATCGACAAGTCGGTGCGTCGATTTGAGCGAGAGACTCTCGGACCTAACCTAACCTAAGCTGACTAACCGCGCAGGCGAGCAGTTTAAACGTACCGACGATGATTCAATTAACTCGGCAGCATCCGGCAAGTCTGAACGAAGGTTGCTCCGCGTCGTAATTTGATCGATCAATCAAGTCACACTATTATCAGTCAGAGCATCTCCGCGCGCAAAAACACGTTACTCTGGACCTTCGTAAATCGACGAACGCACCTTGTTACACGTAGAGATCCTCTAATAAGAGTCTTAAGAGAGGCCAAAATCAGAAATCTGATTTTAGAGTGTTTTGATTTTGGTCTGCCATTTTTTCTCCAATCTAAAAAGGGGGCAGCTTCAGCGCGAGCGCATTATTATGAATGACTGATGTCACAAACACTGACGAAACATCGATTCGAATAATATTTCAATATTATTCATGCAGATTTCATTTTGTTCAAACTACAATCAACTTGTTTTATATTTTTATGAATAAATGTGTTTTTTTTATATGTAATGTAATATATTAAATATGTACAATATAACATGTAAATGATGAAAGAGAAGTGCGAAGTGACAATTTTACCATTCGATGATAAAGGAGAAAATGAAATAAATAAAATCTTATTATTTGTTATATATTATTGCACTATGCATCGCCATGGACTTACACTGCTATCACGTGGTATTACTACGTCATTAGAGAAAAAATGGCGGATCAATCACGATGTTTCAATCGAGGTACTGTGACAATATATATGTTGACCAGACTCTTAGAGTCGGTTTCACCAACTCTGGTTAAGCTAACCAAAGGTTAAAAGTAGCAAAGTAGTCAATTTAAATGCGACGTGCCATAAACAGTGTCATACTGAACCTCAATGAACAATTTATATTCAATCTCGATATTGGCACTTCTGGTAGTTAGAATTTAACTGTAGGTTGGTTTAACCGGAGTTGGTGAAACCGGCCCTTATTAAAGGATCTCTAGTCGCACGCGCGCAACCGCGCCACCACGGAGATTTCCGACACTGAATGGCGGGAGACCTCTAATGACTTTGCATCGCGACGCGCCAGAGACGACCGTGTTTGTTTGCAATCAAGTTCGGCGCCCTCGAAAGGTCGAGTGTAAACGTTGCGATTAATAGTCGTGTAACGACGACACGCCTGTTGTTGGCTGTCACGCTCGATGAGCCGGTTAACAATGCGTCCACTTCGTCACGCGCGTCTCGCGCCTACTGAAACTAAATTGAATAATAACAACGAACGGCGAACAATCGTGATGACGGGGGCACCGGGAAAAACTCGAGCGGCATACATATGTATAAAGTGAAAATAATAATAGGACTATGACGCTTCATCTCGGTATTTTTAAAATATTTTCCGTTAACGGAAAATATATTCATGTATAGACGCTGAATATCGGAACAGATGTTACAAGATAAAAGTATCAATCCTCAGATATGCACCTATTTGATTCTGAATATTTTTATTATTTTAGCTTTTAGACACGAATATTTAACAGTAAATAAATATTTAAGCTTTCAACATAGAATATATTTAGTACATGCGTATATGTTTTATGTTGAATGTTTAAATATTCCTATTTAAAGATCAAAATAATAAGAATGTCCAAGATAAGATACGTATGTTATACGAGGATTCGTTTTTTTTCACCGTAATTCCTTGTAAAGGAAGGGAAGGAAAGAGAGAATAGGGAATATTCTTAACTCGTTTGTTTGGATTATTTTGAGAGAAGTTTTTAGCTTTATAATCATTTTTCCGGAAAGTTTTGGAAACCTAAAAATCCTCTCACGTTTGGAAAAATTGAAATTCACGTAGATGCAGGAAACGGAATAATGTTCCTCTTATTCATATTTGAAAAATAAACGTATTCACTTTTGATTTACGAAAATGAGATGGTAAACGCACTTTTTCCTTATAGTTTGCAGACTATCATCTTCGAAGCTGTTGCGGCCGAGGAGTCGAATGGCAAAGCAGTTCGCGATTCGTCGTAAAACTGCGATACATCATAAAAGCATCTACGCGGAACTCTCGAAGACGCTTTACGGGGCGATCGCGAATATAATGTAGAGATAAATTGCACGACGAAAGAGGAAACGACGTTATGCTACTTGAACCCGGAAATTTTCCGGTTTCGAGAGACAGCACAAGTTCGAGTCGCCGGGATATCTGATAACAAAGGTGAGATAGTTTCTTCCTTTAGCATTTCGAAATGCATCATTTACGATTGCCGGAAAAGAATGTCTATCGGTTTTCATGTCGAACGAGAAGGCAATTGAGAGATTCTATAAGCTCGAAATACATGGCATTAAATTTTTGCAAACAAATATCCTCCACTATATATCGTCCAAGTCGAAGTCTTGTCGAGAATTCTTTAGCTAGCAACTCTGAATGTAAGATCAATATTTTCATATTTCCGAAATGAAACTCTCGTGAAGATCTTCATTGCAAATTGCGACATATAATCCGATGTTGTCGTTCAACTTCTAAAAACTTACGCACAGTAACGCTTTAAGTTGCGTTAAGTGCTTATCATGTAAATCAAAGTCTATAATAACAGTAAACTTCGATTAACACGCAAAGAAAATCATAACGTAACAAAAGCGTGATTTTGCGTGATCAAATACATTATCATGTACGAGATAAACATGCCGTGTATTTTATAACAAAATAATGAGTAGAGAGGCATTTAATGCAATAAATTAATGTTTAATCAAAATTTCTATTATCTTTTCTACGCACATTTATGACATTTAGTTATTAATTTAGTTATTACAATGACTAAATGAATAAACAATATATAGAAAAAGGGATAAAATTTTTGATAAGATATTAATTTATCAAATAATCGTGCTTTTGTTACGATTTTTTATGCGTTGACCTAATACTGCAATTCTAAATAAAATCGTAAAACTCGTAACTTGTTTTCGTAAGACTCGTAAGAACTTATGAGTAGATCTGCAATTTTATGCGGACCGTATGTTATACGATAACTCGTAAATATCTACGATTTCTCGTCAATTTTACGACTAACTAGAAGTTGTCAATAAAGTTATGGTTTGTGAATTTTACCAACATTATGATTGATTCATAAGCTACGACTTTACGATTTTATGATTTACTCGTATATTTGCTTAAAATTGCAATATAAATTTGCGGTTACGTACAAACTTCAGTTTACGATGAGCGACTTAAAGCGATACCGGATGTTTTCGTGCGGAGGTTCTAACTTTTAACAATAATAAAAAAAATGACGATGTCCTAACACATGTTAACGGTAACAATTTTATCGCGATAACGAAAGAATTGCTGAATTATAACAGAGATTATTTTCAGTTGCAGAATCTAAAGAGTGCGAAAACTCGAGCAAAGTAGCAGACAGATAGACAAAAGAAGAGAACAGAGCAGAGCTCTGGCGGGAGGTGAAAAATGGTAACGTGACGAGACGACGGAAAGAAGGAAAGCGCAATCGGGACGAAGCGGTGGACGAATCGCAAGGCTGAACGATGGAAATGAACTCGACGACGAGCTCGATCGTCCCCAATTACTACAATGCTAGCATCGGCGATGACGATCCGATCGAGTGCGATCAGGATGTCAACACGTACGGCCTCTCCGACTTCATTATCTACGGCGTGCTTATCAATTTGATAGGTCTCTTCGGGATCTTCGGCAATACGATCTCGATGATTATCCTGTCACGGCCGCAGATGAAGTCGTCCATCAATTATCTGTTGATCGGACTAGCCAGATGCGACACCGTGCTAATCATCGTCGCGGTAAGATTGTCGCTCCTCGTATATTTCTATTTCCTGTATATTTATTTTGCTCTTTCTCCTCTGTCTCCTAATTGTGCTTTCCTTCTTTTCCGTCGCCTTCTCACGTTGCCATTTTCACCCTCACGAAATCTTCGTTCTTTTCTTCTGCCTGCCTGTTTGCCTGCTACTTTGATCGAGTCTTCGCGCCCTTCAGGTTCTGCAACCTGAAAATAATCTCTGCTATAATTCAGCGATTACTCTTTTTCTCTTTCTTTCCTTTTTCTTCCTCGAGAAATCTAATTGGAATTTACACTCACAGTTCTTATCGCTTCGTCTTTGCGTTAGTTGAATATCTCCCGAGTTCTGCAAGAAGAATAGTGCTCTCCATTTCTATTCTCCCGTTCTCGCGCCGTTTCCCACACCCTTCTGCGATGCTCTTCGTCTAAAAGGCGGCCGCACGAGGTCTGCACAACAGCGTGGCGAAAAAGAAAGCGATTAGGAAATGTACGCCGCGGGCAAGCGTAACTTTTATATGGCTAATGCATAAATAATGAGCGCAGTAAATAACGATTCGCTTTTGAAATTGCGAAATTGCGCGGAAAAACCTGCGGCCCGTTCAACCGGAGATGTTTTCGCGTTACTTACACGCGGGAAAAGAGATCGAATTTTACGTCAAATAAAATTATTATGCGACACTATAAAGAGCAGCAAGCTACCGTGTATTTTACACGGAAGAAACGATCATAGAGTGAACATCTGGTCCGGCAACAATTGTGCGATCTTTCGCTCTTACCGCACAAATCAATCACAAAGAGTCAGTAATGCCAGACCTAACATCCCATCCCTCAATTTTGCACGCGCAATCAGATAACTGATATTCATATAAAATATTAACACTCCATTACCTCTCATCTTCACTTAATCATTTATTCACGAACTGTTCGTCAAATCAATTAATTTTTCATATAAAATATTAACACTCCATTATCTCTCATCTTCGCTTAATCATTTATTCACGAACTGTTGATCAAATCAATTAATTGGAGAAATAATAATCAATATTTACGACGCGAACACAGTTTTCATTTCTCCTCATGTCACGTTGAATAATTCTTCTTTGACGAAGAGGCGACAAATAAATTTCAATTCGCGGGCAGAGTGACATGCGCGACCTGTCCTTTTATTAATCAGTCTGCCCGAGCGCTGTGAAAATTTGTGTTCGTCCCGTATTTCGTGCAAAGTTCAGGAAACGAGGCTTCTTAAATGCAGCTTCTCTATGCGTAACTCGTAAATAATCCCATGGATCACCGATCGGAAAATCAACGTTTAATTGGGGCTCGCGACCAGAAACGAATCGCGATGAGATCGTGGAACGCCTCGTAATTGCCGATATGACCCGGCGTTCGCTGTCGCCGTGCTCGGTCTGTCAATCAATCATGCGCGCGAACCGTAGCCAGATAAAATTTTGCGAAAAAACATCCAGCGCTTCGCACCGTTTCCGAGCCATCGAGCTGCGTTTCCGTAGGGTTTATCGCGACGCCTTGTTATTGTCGGCCAGCTTTTATTAATGACGCTCTCGAAACACCAAGGGCACTCATGCCGAAAGTGATACGAGTCAACTTTTTAAGCGCAAAGAATTCAGTCGCGAATACACAGGATAACCCGTCGGTAAAAGAGAAAAAAAATGCGAAATCGAGAGAAGCGTCGATTTATCTCGATATTGAGACATTTGATAATCCTGGACTGATAAGTGAACATCTAAAAATTTCTTTACTTTTTATCACAATCACGAGATATTTTTTCGCGAGCTCGCGGAAACAAAATTCTGTTTTGTCGTTTGATCTCAGCTTTGGGGCTTGGTTCAAGTTTTCATTTACGAGGGATTTTAATTTCAAAAGTTGGATTCACCTCATATTAAATATGAAAAATGTGAAATAATAAGAAATTCGAGGATTCATAATTATAAATTTTCGAGATTGCGCCGTACGTGCGGACGATTCGCGTAAAACTTGGCGTGAGACTTCGAAAATAACGGACATGTTTGTACCATCCGCACGAGATACATTTATATACGCCGGAGGCGATTAAAGAAGTGCAATTCGAAGCTTTATATTGCGCACTGCGCGTTTATTATTCTCCCCGCGGATTTAATTAACATGTTGCGCGCAACAATAAATTTTCATTTAGGGGTTATTCCGACCGGAATACTCCCTGTACACGTGCTCCTTTATTAAGAGAAAGGAAAGGAAAAAAACGAGACAAAAGAGAAACGCAAGAATCAGCAAATGCGTCACGACTCGTAGTAATGAAGTGCGGACCTCTCGTTTTAATATCGCTCTTAATCCTGTGTTTTGTACGGTGATAAATTTACAACGCTTTGCTTCCCATTAAAATAAACGTGGTGTGTACCACGCGCGTCCTATTTTACCTCCCCTGCAATTTAAGTTATTTCTCTAAACGTGTAATTTATAACTTCACCTCTGCTTCCATATTTTTATCTCAAATATGCATATGGCTTGCACGATTCCCTCGGACCCTGCAAGTTCGAAAATATTGCGTAGAGAAAAATCTCGTCGTTACCGAACAAGGAAATGCCTCTCGTAACGTCTCGTGCAATTATCATTGTTAAACATGGAAATTTCGTCTTAAAGGAATACATATATGTAACCTCAGTTAAAAATGCGTAAACTAAATAAAATATATTCCGATAAAATCCACTTCGATAAGAAAACAAATAGACAAATACGATAATACACGCCGAGCGAATATTATAGTTTTCTTTTTTATTCTTTTTAGTTTTGCTATGTTTCTGGCAGCGCAGAAACTAGATTATCAGTAAGATCTACTTTGCTAAAGAACGTAATAAATTTCGCTAGAAATATAGAATATTTTTAAATTATATATTTCATTTTCTAAAATATAAAAATATATAAATAGTATGAAATAAAAAGGATAATAAACTACAGAATGTCAATCTACTCCTAGCTTAAAAAATTCCATAATTTCTACTATAAAATCTTCTTCGTGTACAGAGAAAATATTTCATACGAGATGTCTGTCTCCAAAATATGTCGATTTAGAAAACTGCATGCGCGCAAACAGCAAATAGCTTCAAGATTGCTTTTTCTTAATCCACTCTCTTATAATTTTGTGCTATGTAAATTCGCGATGAGGATATAAAAAATGAACTCATTAAAAATGCGTCGCATGTGTGTGCATCAGGATAATATGAGATGTGAGTTGCGGGTCAAGCTTATGTAAATAAGTCCCAGTGTGCCGTTTCACGGCTTCCTGAACTTGTGAGTAAAGCTAAAATTAATAAGATTGACGGAGCTGGTACTCTTTTGGTAAATATCAACCGGAGAGCTCGTACGCAGGATCCCGCGCTAACCTTCTCGAGGACGCGTTACATATAAACCACTCGCGATAACAACGCGCATTGCCAACTACTCTGTGGTATGCTATAAAAATATAAAAATCTTGTTACAAAAATGAATTTTTCGACTATAATTGTTTCACTGTGCAATTATAAATGTATATATTTCTTTCTAAGAACCGATTTCTCAACAGTAACTTAAAAACAGATTAAAGTTTAAATTGCACTTCAATGCAATGGTTTGATGTGTTTAAAATATAGTTTAAACTTCAGTCTAAGTTTAAAAGTTGCTGTTGAAAAATCGGCTCTAAATGTATTAACTTCCGAGCGAATGGAATTAATCATAAGGCGGCAGAAATGTACGAAGAAACGTATGATGGTTGTTATCGCAGGGACACGATTTCACTTGTTATCGTGATTATTAATTAATCATACAGTGAACTTCTCTGACCCTATGTTCTTTCATTACGAGCTATTCCTATACTCGTCAATCAAACTTTGCAAACGTAAGGGCGTGTATGTGCGCGTGAAAAATAATGTGAAAGATAATCTTTTTTTCGGGAACAACGAGCAACGAGATCGGAACAATGAGATCTCGTTAACAAGATCACATCAAAAGATCAACATGAAAACATGTCGAAAATGAATGAATTGAATTTGAATTTTTAATAATTATACGTCACGAAAATTGGCGCGTCCGTTTTTCATTTCACAATTTCATACGAACGTTCCAAACTCTAATAGTTACAGTATACTCTCTAAATTTCTTGGAGTGAAATTCCACTTGGAAAGTAGACTGACCAGGTTCGAGTGATTTTTCACTCATACAGAGCGAATTCTCCACTCCAAGTCGTTGAGTGGATATTTCCACTCGAAATTGAAGGGTGAATCGGCAAGACTCCTCGAGGGAAAATGCTACAACTTCTCATCAGCCGATTATACTGCATTTTAAACGTCGAAACAGTAAAACAGAAATGCGACAATCGCGAGATCTCACTTATGCTCATTTGCAGATACTGATCTACGGATTGCCAGCGATCTACACGTACACGGGCCTGCTGTTTCACTACAAGTTCATCGTCTATCCGAAGATCATTAAGTTTCTGTACCCGCTGTCCTGCATGGCACAGATCGTGACGGTGTACCTGACGCTGACGGTGACCGTGGAAAGATACATCGCTGTCTGCCATCCGCTGAAAGCCAGATCGTTCTGCACTTATGGACGAGCACAGGTGGCAGTGCTGGTTATAGTGGTCTTCGCTTTCCTTTACAATTTACCAAAGTTAGTGTAACACCAGCGCGACGCCGTTTGTTGTCCGGACATTGAGCTGATGAGAAGGGAGATTAAATTTTCGTGTGTCTAGGTTCTGGGAGATCGAGGTGCACGTCGATATACACTGGAAATACAACGTCACGATATACTGCATCTATCCGACCGCGATGAGGAACGACAAGTACTACGTTACTCTGTACATACATTGGCTGTACTTCTTCGTGTACTACATGTTCCCGTTCATCGCGCTGGTGATCTTTAACACCGCCATTTATCGACGGGTGAGTGTTTATTGGCGAAGTTAACGCTCAGTTTCATGCGTATTTTATATTATACGCTAAGAGAAAGAATGTTTTATCTCCTCACAAGTTATCGTCGTTCTCAACCATACTTGTCGATCTTACCAAAAGGTAAGATTACTGGTACTGAGAGCATACGTATAAAATTATTATCAACTACTCTGTGGTATGCTATAAAAATCTTGCTATAAAAATGAATTTTTCGACTATAATTGTTTCACTGTGCAATTATAAACACATATATTTTTTCCTAGAGCCGATTTCTCAACAGCAGTTTAAAAACAGATTGAAGTTTAAATTGCACAACTTCAATGCAATTGTTCGACGTGTTTAAACATATCTTTTAACCTTTAAATTTAAGTCTAAGTTTAAAAGTTGCTGTTGAAAAATCGGCTTTAAATGTATTAACTTCCGAGCGAATGGAATTAATCATAAAACGACAGAAATGAACGAAGAAACGTATGATGGTTGTTATCGCGGAGACACGATTTCACTTGTTATCGCGAATAAAAACGACTGTGTCTAACGGCGTGGCGAGACGGGAAGGAGAAAGAAAACGATAACTCGTTTTTCTTGAGCACGAGACCAGGCGGAAGCTGATCGAACGCGAAATATCGAGCAACGTGCGGCGAGCTCTCCCGAGCAGAGTTAACATTTTTCCCCGAAGTGGCCCCCGACTGGTTCGTTTTATTAAAACTTTTTCTAAAGGGGTCGCAATAAGTCGCGATGAAAAGGGTGAGATGGGCGGATCGATATACCGCAATAAGACCGGCACGTTATGGCTTGTCGATAAAGCGCGACATAAAATGCGAATAATAAGCTGGCTAAGCCAATAAAGTTTTGCCGGAGTGTATAAGCCCGAGATCGGACACACATGCATAGAATTCGCGGGCCGGGTACGTACAGTTGCTCTTCTGCACGGGGGCGGCGAAATTCACGGATCGCTACCCCCGCACGTGCCGACTTGCGGGACTGCAGTTGCAAGCGCAAGTAATATCAACCTCTTGCATCGTAGAATAATAACGCGCGAAACACTTGCGCGAGCGAGAAGCTGACTCGCTAATGAAACGTTACGAAATAATCGCCGCGCTTCGTAAGTAAAATATCGAGATTGATGATGTAAATAATCAGAAAGATAGACAGAAAGACACACACAGAGAAAGAGAGAGAGAGAGAGAGAGAGAGAGAGAGAGAGAGAGAGAGAACATGTACAATTGGAGTAATAATATTCCCGTGTATCTCTCTTTTCATCTCGTACATGATTCACTTCGCGAAGAGAAATATTAACGCTAACATTAGCTCTCTGTAAATTAATGCGAGCATCACAGAAACCTGTGCGAATCGTATTACTTCGTAAGAGATACACGCTGATCTGAATTATATTTCACGTGATGACATGAAAATCCGAACGCTCAATATTACCAAGACCTCAGGATTCGACCGCAACGGCAAAGTAGATCACCCCGTACATATATCCTGAGAGTCTGAAATTACAAAGACGGCGCGGTGTCGAAGGACAACAATTTCCTTCGGCTTTCCCTTATCGCGAAACTTCAGAGTCCGCGAACTCCGCCCTTAATTCCGGGATCAGGGCGCCGTTTTCGGCGGCGTATTCTTCGCGGCAACTTGCGACGACTTTACGCGAGCGGATCAGGGCGCGGAATAAAGGTGAACGCAGCAGCGCGCGCAGAGATCCGAATGAGAATATTCATGCGGCGAACGAAAGCATGCAGTCTTCTAATCTCGGCTTGAAGTTCTTACCGTGACGCGAGACTCACAGCCGAAACTTCGCGACACTTCACACGCGCGTGAACGTGCAAATAGAATAGAATGAATGCACTTCTTGCGTCTTTATCCAGTATGGAGCTCGAAATGGGAAAATGCCAGAAAATCCGAGAAGATTGGAGCGTGAAAATGCCAGAGTGCGTTTGTTCGCGCTCTTAAAATGCGTAACTGAAATGCATAATTGAATTTTTTAACGACGCGGAGAACACGTCAGTGACGATTTCGTTTTTTTTTCAACAACGTCTGCGACTAATTTTCTATTCTACTCACAGAATTTATGAGAACGGAGCGACATTAAAATCAATAAAAAACTTAAGAAAAATAAACTGCCTTCAAAAACTTTAAGAGCTCTACACTAAGGGAAAAATTACTTTAAAATCAACAAATATATCTTTGATAGATGCCATTAACATATTTATTTAAATCTAAATTCTCCTTATTTAAACCAAATATTGTTTACTTAAATCAGGTAAACAATATTTAATTTAAATGAAAAGAATTTAGATTTAAATAAATATGTTAATGGCATCTATCAAATAAATATTTATTGATTTTAAGGTAATTTTTCCCTCAGTGTAAAAGATATGAAATAATCTTATATTAATATTACTGTTCCTGTACTCTTATCCTAATATTCCAATAATATTAGAAAACGGCACGAAAATCTAATTGATTAAGTCAATAATCATACTTTTTTTATTTTATTTACCTCTCTATATATAGTTATATATACATAGTTAGTTATACCTAACCTATCTATATAATTAGTTTTATTCACATCGACTTCTAACATAGCTCGAATATTAGGATAAGATTGTAAGTACATAGGAATATTGACCCAAAATTATATATTTTATAATTTAAAAGCTTTTGAAGTTTTTGAAGGCGGTTTATTCCTTTTTTTTAATCTTCTTATTTCGTACTTTAAATACTTACTAAAAGTTCGCTTCTACATAAATTAGTTAGAAGTAAAAGTTTCGCCTCTTGCCTCTCTAGATGTTCTCAAATTTTCAAGAAGGTAATGGAATTACCCAATTTTCAGACAACCTGGACGAATCCAGATAATGACACTAATCTAAGAGAACTATGCAGATAACATACTGAACAAGTTACAAGAAGTTTCATCTCTAACAGTTCTCAAGTTATGAGATAACATATATACAAGACAAATTGAGAACCTCCTTTTTTTTAATCAATTAGAAACTATCACTTGGCACTCTGTGTACAAAAAATTGAAGCCGCTTAAGTTCAAGAAATTTGCTGCATTTTGACATAGGCGATGCACTCGCGCTAGTTGCAATTCGCCTTTCGTTCCGCGGCACTATATATATATGTGTGCTAGGGCGAATATAATAATTCTATTAATAATCTGCTGCGCGTACCACGAAGAGCGTAGCAAGTGAACCGGATGCGGTAATCCGAGGTAACGCGCAGCAATTCGGCGACACGCGACATGCATAATAATTCGTCCGCGCAACGCGAGTCTTAATAATAATTAGCCCTGCTAGTTCGCGTCCTCGTAATTGTTTTAGCGGTGGAACTTGCTGCTGCGCTTCGAAGATCGAAGCTGTGAGATCGGCGGAGGGAGAAAAACAAAGAAAGTAATCGGAAAATTGAGAATCAAGAAAGGGAGATCGTAAATTGCGAATTGCCGATCCATTATCTCATAAATCATATTTTCGATTCCCGTCGCACAGCATCAATCTTGACTTGTCTTATCTTGAAATGAGCGCGATGCGATTATCATACTACTCTTCCTATTGACTCTACCGTACGACATTGTAAGGTAAAAGTATCAATGCCTGGAAATATACCTAAACATTTTTATTGTTTTGATATTTAAACATGAATATTTAAGCTTTCAACAAAGAATGCAGAGTAACAATCTCAATTACGGATCAAGTCCCAATTTTTAATCAAACTTGATTTATTGATGTATTAAAAAAGTATTGAAAATATGGAAAAAATTTTTTTTAGATTCTTCTCTTAATTTTTTTTTTTACAATTACGTTCTAAGATTACTTTTACAAACACTCTTAATTAAGAAAAAAATCTAAGTAATCGGTTGTTTTGCTGTCCCTTTAGATTTATGAAATTGGTAATAGGTTGTGCTGAATATACTATTATTTTATATAAATTAAATCTCAATGTAAATATAGACATTATTAATATAAAATTAAATATAGTCTATATAACCCGTTACACGGGCGCGCAATGTTCGCTTGATCCATAATTGAGACATAATTTACGCATAAATGTTTCTAATTATTCTTTTATAACTTGAAATAAATTAATTTAAAGTTTAATTAATAGTTACGTTTTAAAACTACGATATTAGCTGCTTATATTGTCATCAACAGTCCATTTAAATGTTGAAACAACAAATTTAGATATCGCACTCTGTTTTCTACTTTCTGCACTTTTCTTGTTGTGCGCACGGCAAAATGAAAATCAGGACAGCGAAAAAGAAAAAGTTTGCTGTAATGAAACCTCACAGGCAAACGTTTCCTTTACACAGTTACGTCCCACTCGATCGATATTCCAGATTGTTTGGCATTTATTCGGCGTTCTTTCGCGCGCTTCCAAACACGACGTGGATGAGTCGGTCGGAGTAGAATGCAAGCGTGTTTTCGCGCTAAAAATTCCATGGGCGATTCCTCTTCCTCCTCCTCCTGCTCCTCCTCCTCCTCCTCCTCCTCTAGGAGCCATTCCATCTGCAGAGCGAGCAGCATCATCGACGGCTCCTCCGTCGCAGACTCCATCGCGCGGGATATACGGTTTCGCCGAAGAGCGATCGTAAATTCGATGGAGAAGCGAGTCGTACGTGGCATCGGGGCCACGTTACGCACAGCAATCACCACGAACACGTAGTTCTCCCACGTGATATTCGTGCCGAAATAATACTCGCGGTTCGCTGCGGAGCCAACGGCACCTCAACGTATTCGGGGAGCCGTTGCTGTTGCCCGTCATTGCCCCGCCGGAGGAATCGTCCAAGACCAGTGATGTCGATACGCCGGGAATTCTCCTCGGGAACTCCCATAACATTTTCTCTTCCGTCGACTTCCCTTCCGACGGCACTTTCGATCACGCCGGGAAACGCGCCGGCTGTTCCGTCGTCCTAGATATCCGGGTGAGACGAGGATCCTCCCCTTGCTTTTTCAACATTAACCCTTCATCATCGAGCCTATAATTAGTAACGGAACTCTTCCTCCGGAGACAGCGATCGATCTCTCTCTTTCCATACTCTTCAACAACTGTCGCGGCCTTTTTACAGCCGTCACCGTTGCGCAACGGCGCTGGTGAAATTCACCCTCGCGAAAGACACGCCTCGTAAATCTTATAACATGGCAATTCCGCACTATTAGTCTTACAGAATGTGTAAATATCAGGCATATTTCTTGTTAAGAAAATGCCATTGACGCTTATTACATACATATTTCTCTCTAGTGAAGCGCGGAGACCGTCGTTTTATCGTGTCGTCGGACGACGACGATAAAATATTTATGTGATCGCTCAGGTAATGTTGTAATCAGTTCAGGTAACTTTAAAGCAACGCGCGAATAGATGGATAGATCTTCTGACGACAATAGCGATTAGATATCTTCTCGTGGAGAAACTTAAGAACAGTTTATGTCACATTTGTACTGTAGATTTCAAGATTACGCATTTGTTTACGCATTTTGTCTACGTGATGTGTACACGGTCTTTTCCGTGCGAACTATAAACTGTGTAGAATGTAAATTACGTTAAAATGCGCATAAAACGTAACAATATTAAATTATAAGACAGTTACTATATGTGCTTTCGATATTCATTATACATATAATATAACGTATATTATACATATCGTATAACGTTTAAAAAAAATGACAAATTGCGTGAAATTTTTATTTTATTACACGACAGATTTCTGTGAAGGTAAAAATATTACCACAGAATTCTGTGCACTCTTTCTCTCTCTCTCAAGTTATACGTTTTTTAGACATCCATAAATTACTTATTATCCAGAATTACTTATTATAGATGACATCTCATATATGTAGTTTACGTGTTGCGACATGTGAACGTAGAGTATCATAATTTACACGTAAACGACCAACACTGGTTTATATTGTATCTTTCGGAAAACAGTTCGCAGTAGTTGGGACAGAATTTACAAGCAAAAGCTCGAAACAAATGGTTCAATTAACATCGTCCAAGAGGAAGATGTCTTGCCGCGTTAATTTTTTCCCGCTATATTTAACCTGAAACGGTTTTTTCCACTTTGCGCACGTGGAGCACGTGGAAATGCGTGTAACATGAGCTTGACGCGAAAAAATTCTTAATTACATTCTCGCAAATCTTGAATACGCTTAGGAGAGAATGTAAGCCGCAATTGCAAGTTTCGTGCAAGCGATATTTTACATTACAGCACCGGCATCGAGAAAATAAATAGAATTGGATTTACTCGAACTTGCGTGCACTCATTAAACTCATGTTCTTTTTTAAGTAATTTTCCGGACAATTAAACCTTTATGGAGCTTTCCTTCTCTCTTTGCAGTGCAATATTTTACATTACGTCGCGTTAGTGACATAACATAATTGGCAAAACGAGCAAGTGTAGAAATTACTAAACAAACCGCGGCGCGTATTCTTTTCGAGAAGTTTCTCGAAAAGACTTTAAAAACGTTAAAAACGTTAAAAATTTATAAATTGATCAAGCTAATATATAATTATATCATTTTTTTTACTTCCCTTGCAAACAAGTAAAATCGCGAAAAGTTATAACTTGATCAAACTGACCAAATTTGCTAAAACATATAATTATGTCACTTCTATATCTTCCCCTGCAGAAAAAATCGCGAAAAATTAAAAAAATGTATTCGTTACCGTTTTTCTATCGGTTCCCAGGTCAGGAAAGCGAACAAGGATTTGCAGCAGCTGTCGCGTCATCAACGTCGCGAGATCGGCCTGGCGACGATGCTGCTGTGCGTGGTAGTGGTCTTTTTGATCTGCAATATCCTGCCATTGGCCTCGAATATCCACGAGACGTTCATAAAAGATCCGCCGCGATTGATGGTGCAGATCGGCAATCTCCTAGTGACTATCAACAGCAGCATTAACTTCATCATCTACGTGATCTTCGGCCGCAAATTTAAGAGGACGTTCCTCAAGCTCTTTTGCTCGTCGCGACTGTACGGGCCCAACCGAGACAGTCCGGAGTTCCAGACGTACGACGAGTCCATCGTCACTAACACGACCAACATCGAGCTGAGGAGCTCGGTCAGGCAAATTGGCCATCTTAATCGCAGTAACACCATCAACCGCAACAATAACCTGGTCCATGGCAACATCCACGTTTCCAACGGCAGCACCAGGCAGAGCGTCAAACTCTCCAGGCCGCTAAGTTCAGGGCCCTGCGTCTATTATCCGATGAAAAGCCCGGCGAGGAGTCACAGTCAGATGTCTAGGACATCAAGCGGTCAGAACGGCTGGAACAGCAAGAAGGAGAATGACGACTCCACGCTGTAGCGAGGATGACCGTTCGACTCGTTTATCTAACTAGAAGTCAGTTGAATATCCCGATCAGATGTTTTTTATTTATTTTCTTTGGATCGCTTCACGAAGGTGATAAAGGAAGGAGGAGGATAATCCTACGCAACTGTTCCACCTATTCATTTTTCTGGATGTCAGCCGAGTATCCGATGTTCCCATCAGTATGCGAAGACAGTCGAAGATTCGCGAAATGACAAGAACAGCGATCTTACATTGTATTCTAGGATATGGATAGCACTGCTAGTCGATATAGATGAAATTGTATTGTTCTCGCGTTCTTGATTCTACGTTTCTTTATCAGTGATCCATCCAGAAATATGCAAACTGAAGCGTATTATAAGCACAACGACGACGTGAAGTACGCGTAGACGTTGTTCGATGTTTCTTCTTGGGTACATCGTCTGCTCGGATCGAGCGTCGCAGATGAGAGATGGACCATTCCACGCCACACAGTGGACGACTGAGATGTGTGGACGCTTCTTATCTTCGTTACTCAAGCAAGAGTCCTGCCAAGAATCTTAATATGAAGGACAGATCTGCAGGATTGAACAAGTGGGATACGAAGGACAGCGCTGTATCTCCCTGTTCGATATTGACTTTCTCCGTATGTATCCTTCATCCTAAAGAGTCTTCTTATAGCAACTTCAATGAAATGTCCGCCAGTCGGAACGGATGGAAGGACAAGGAGGGCGATTTCGCACTGCGGTGGACAGCGTATATTATTGTTCCCCCGGGAGAAACTCGGACCAATCCACCCTCTCGTCCTCGGACGCTGTAATCCCACGGGATAGCGCGACTTCGATATAAGAAAAAGGGTCGTTAAGGATAACAGCTCCTGTAGGTTCCGCACTGCGGAAGACTTTCTTCTTAACGGAAGAGAAACTGCGATCTCCTGCAGCGATGATCTTCTGAGCGAAAGTTTCCCGTTTGCCTCGGGATGATCCAGTTTTGGACGTTGATGAGACCATCGCTTGATGTCGCGTCTCGGACTCGTATTCTATAGGGTCGCGTTTGATCGTTAGAATTACGATAATCATTAAGTGTCGATAGATTTAAGCAATAGAAAACTTCCTTTCGCGATAAAAGACTGGTATTAACGGAATAAACTGTCGCGTCTCGAAAGCTCTTTTCGTTGACTAAAACTCTCTGTCACTCGCAGTCATTATCCCTCTCTCGCATTCTCGCGAAGCATTATCTTAAGATAATAACGCGATTATCTTAAGATTTTAACGCGTGTTAAAATAAAAAAAAAAAAAAAAATATATATATATATATATATATATATATATATATATATATATATATATATATATATTGTAAGCGCGTAAGATGCAGGCTAATAAAGAGCTTTCACGATCAGAAGCTCCATTTCGCAAGGAAAGTATTGCACAAAGGAGAAGTTCAGAGGGAATCCGCTAACTCGGAACGGCGGAGATGTTTCGCGAACTTCCGTAGGAAGATTGAGTCGGTCACGTATTTAGTTTTCCCGAGGAAATAAATCGGATTTCATCGAAGTTAAAAATAAAGAGCCAACGGAAGGCGCGACATTCCCTCGGGAGGGCTTCTGTCTCGGCTGTAAAAGACGGAAGTCCTTTCCTACATTGTCGGGCTCTCGCTCCGTGCAACTCGCGCGCCGATCAGCTCGGAGCAATATTCGTTAAACAACAAAAGAGCGTCTTGTCGTGACTATTCGAATAATAAACCTTTGGAAGATGTAAAGGACGTAAGGCTGTAATCTCTTATACTTAAGAAAAGAAATTCGTCGAAAATCTTTTGAACATAATTTGAAGCTCGGCCGAATATTCAACTTAGCTGAGATATTTTTCTAAATTTCCGTTCGTAGACTCGAAGAGATCGACACTGTATATATTTCCTCTCGTCTAGTGTAAATTTGAAAAGGAAAATATAAACCGCACAACACGCGGAATGTATGGATGCACAGAAAAAACGTCGGAGGAACGTAGACACTACTATTCGATGTGCTCTCGAAATATTATAAATGTAAAGTGTACTGAATTTCACAGATAGCATGCAATATCCGCACCGAACAAATAACGTTCTCACTATACGCCGAGCGACCGAATATATTAAAAAAATGTATATGTATATTAAAAAAGAGGAAATTCTTTAAAAGCTAGACGTTAATATCCAAGGGTTGTAAATATACTTTCATCTCCCTATTATCGATACTCCCTATTATCGTTGGAAATTATGTCGACTTTTAAATACATCTCTTTCCTCCTGCTGCGACACAATTATTTATTCATAGCTTGTATAACGCTCTACTTCTATAAGGAAATACCGCGATAACGCGGTAACTAGAATCAAAGCTCCGGCTCGACGTTTCTATCGTAATTCAAAGTAATTGTAAGATACACGGAGATTTATACGATTTCCTCGATATAGAGATATTCTTGTTAATGGAGGAAGCGAAGGAGAAATCAAATTTACAGAGGGAAACAAAACGCTCTCGTAGCTATACGACAAGAGATTCACCATTCTAGTCATGGAATTTCTATCGATTCAATAAATATACTCATATATTTAATATGCAATGACGATCTGTATATAATGTAATTCTACCATCTTGCAAACACGCTATCTATCATATCTTATTGCTGTGTATGCGTGTGTGGGTGCGTGTGTGTCTCGATATTCTTGTAAATATAATTTAGGAATCATCAATTAAGGCTTCTGCGCACTCGCATCCCCCACCTTTTTTTAGTGACGTCAGAAGCGAAAAAATCAATTATCATTACACGATAATCAACAGCAAATTATCTAAATGTATTTCGCGAGAATTTGAGCATGTGTTTCCTCGCTTCTGACGTCATTAAGAGGAGACGGACGATGCGAGTACTTAGGAGGCTTAATATTAATCAATGGCTGGAAAAAAAAGCATTAACTCGACTATTCTCGGCTATTTTTACATACTGCTAAAAATAGATAAAGCAAAAGAAATCAGTAAAAATTTACTCTGTAATATTCTTTAATCGTTGAAACGAGAGAGAAAATTACTTATTAGATATCTTTTAACACTTCTTTTTTAGATCTGTTTAGTAACCAAAGAATAAAGACGTCATCTGTAAATGTGAGATAAATTATTTACAAGCCTGAGATAGTTTCTTAACGTTACAGAATGATATTTATAGAATTAGGATTTTATTCCAGCCAGCATCTCTATTCCATCGCTGTCAAGGCATATCGTACAAATCCGTTCCATGTAAACTAGTAAATCTAATTTAATTTAATATAGCTAGAGAAATGTTACACCTCCCATGTAAATGTATCTCTCCTCCACTCAAATGTGCTTTAAATAAACTTTATTGTACATAAAATAAATTTTAGTGATTAATGTGAGCACACAAACACTGCTACGCAAATAACTTAACTTCCTTGTAATGAGAAATAACTATTGTTCTTATATGTACTCAATATTTAGCATATTGAGCCATGAGAGAGTAGTCTCAACATGATGAAATCTTATAAAATCTTACAACAGAAAATCAATTCCATATTTGAAAGACTGTCAATTTACCATACTTTTTTAAATCTTTAAATAAAATACAATAGTAAATAGCAGCACAGAATATAATATATGATTATCAACATACACACATATATATATCATATAAATGTTAAATAAATAAAAGTAATAAAAACATTTTAGAATAATATATATTCTATTCAATCATCAGCATGGTTAGAAGGTCCTTCTCAGTGACCTTTTCTTTCCTTTGACTATAAGTCATCAGCTGCAGTACACGCAGTAAATTTTTCATCGCTGGATATTCGTAGTGACATACTTATGCAATAGATACTACCATCGTTTACATGCTAATAAGAATATATAGTAAGAATTACCAGACATGACGAGTTAATTACAGAAATTTTGTCTAGCTATTTATTTGAAAAATCAGCATCATATCGCACTACACATCATTATGTAACATGAGAATCTTCTCATTACGCCTTTTGTTTTTTCGGTTTCAGGTAAAAGTATAGAGCAATTAGTGTGGTAGTGCCAAGCGTAGCCATCGCTACCTGCAGAATTAAGAAATTGATAAAATATACATGAGATAGATAAAAAAAATTTTAAAGTCGTATTCAAACATTGTCGTCTGCGACAATTTTGAGGTTATAATACCACTCACATTTGCTCGACCAGTAATAGTGACACTGTTGAAGTGCTTCGCTAAGCCTGTCAGCTTTGGCCCTTCTTCAGCCATGTTTCTTTATGGTGGTTAATCTGACCGTTTGTTCAAAATTCACAAAAGAATTGCGAAATTGAGATGACACTTTAATCGTTCCTATCGTACCTTATTGATGAACCAAAAAGACTCACCACTGAGAGCGGTCACCAGTTTGATTTCAATGGCCAAAGCTAGGCACATTTTCGAAACGCCATCTAACAAAGTACTCCTTTACTACGTTCGTTAGGCATATTTTCGCGATGGTAACGATAAAATGCGCCTGGTTCATGTCCGTTGTACTTCCGTACAATGATAGTAAGTTAGAAAAGACGTCCAATCGCTCTATTCCTGTTTCCCCACTGATGAGCGGATCGCACGACGTAGGCTAAGGTGACCAGACGTCCTGATTTTTCACCTTTTGTCCCGAATTTCTTTGAGTGCTATTCGGGACACCGATTTGTCATCATTTTCAATGATTGTCAAATAATTTTCGGATCTTTTTACCTCCTTCCCCCGCCTTCCGCTTCACACATTTATAAAGTGTCCCGAATTCAGGGCTGGGAAATCTGGTCACCTTACATATACCGCGAAGAGAAACGAGAAGATTACTTACAAATGACGTCTTCACGATACGCCCCGGCGATCGCACATCGCTATTCTCGATACTTCCGATACTTATTTTTGACGGGTTAAAGACGCGTAAAATGCGGAGCGATGTCGATCGATGTGTCCACGGCGGTTGTTCGATGCAAAAAGATCGAGAATCAAGATGTCGCACGATTATTGAATCGCACTGAAAATATACGCCAATATATGAACGGCGCCGCGGTTGAAAAGAACGCGCTTTATGAGATACTTCTCTCTCCGTAGCCCTTTTCCTAACAAACTGATGCAACCGCCCGAATATTCCACATCTCTCTCGCTCTCTCTCTTTCTCTCTGATTGTCATCGCATTTCTAATTCCTGTCAATAAATCCGACGATCGCCCGATTCTATTGCTACTTGAGCGAGTCGATGTTATTAGCAAATATAAGGGACGTCGGCGCGACACGTCGCGACAAGCACCGGCCGCATATACCTCGAGGAGAAACGAGAAGATTACTTACAAATGACGTCTTCACGATACGCTCTGGCGATCGTACATCGCTATTCTCGACACTCCCGAGACTTATTAACGCGCGAGACTCACTTTCGACGGATAAAAGACGCGAGAAACGTGGAGCGATGTGAATCGATGTGTGCCTATGGCTGTGCTTGGCGCGAAAAGATCGAGCATTTCGCGCGATTCATTACCAACGCCTAGATTGAGTGACAACCTCATAGTGCGAAACGAACGCGATTAGTCTAGAATAGTAACTCGAGCAAGTAGTCAAGGCGTACAGATCGCGTCGTTGTAGATGCGCGACCTCGTTCGCATCATTGGCGCGTTCACATTTATGCACTTTTGGCACTTTCGGCGCGCTAATGAACTTTTGGTGTACGTGATTGACAGCGCGCGCGTCTGCGATTTTTCATGCCGAGCAACTGCCATGGACACAACGCTCCGTATTCCATACATCTTTCGCTTGTGTCCTGTGAGTCTCTTGCGGAAATAAATATTGGAGTGCCGAAAACGACGTACGGTCGTCAGGACATATCGTAAGTACATTATTACGAAGTAATCTCCTCCCTTCTCGACACATAGCTAAGATGACCAGACGTCCCGATTTTTCACACTTTGTTCCGAATTTTTTCGAGTATTCAGGACATTGATTTGTCATCATTTTCAATGATTGTCAAATAATTTTCGGACCTTTTTTCGCGTAAACTTTGAATAGATCTTTTTTTTCTATCGTCGCTATTTTCAGTTTTCGAATTTTCATTCGCGTTCGCGATTATTAATTTGATAGATTTTCAAATTTTGCCGAATCGAAATCGCGAAAGCGTCGCGAGCGAACTTCGCAGAAATATTGCGGGGAAAGGTTTTCGCGAATTTCAAGTTTGTTGAGAAGACAGACGTCTCATGCGATAACGATAACATTTTCTCGCGTAAATTCGGAATAAATCAGCCGAATTTTCGTCTGGTCCCTGAACAACCGAAAATTCGGTTACACCAACAGAATTGTTTTTTCCGTGTAAACGTAAATCGCATTGGGTCCGACAGGAAGTAAAGTAAAAATTGGAATTTGCAATTCGCCGAAATTACGTAAGAATGATCCAACCAAAGAGTTTAGCTCTGAGATTTTCGCAATAATTCAACGAGTCAAGCATTTCCATTTCTTTAAGAATACTGACTAGCTCAATCCTTAGAAAAATGTGCAAAAAGACGCGACTGGTAAAAAATAAAAAAACTGTTTCTTAATTCATTTCAAGCATCTATAAGGCTTGCATTTTTCTTGTTTGGTTTAAAAAGATGTGAATGTATGTGAGTATTCATTGATACAAACTTATAATTGTTTGAATTGGATCATTCTTGTATAACAATGGCCAATTGAAATTTCGACTCGCCAGACTTCCTTCTCGTCGGAATGTTTCTTGATGATACATTAAACTGATATATTTCAACATGTCATATTTATATGCTCTGTATATGTTATATATACTTTTTTATGCTCTATATATGTTTTATATATATTTGATTAATATAATTTATAACTTCCCACACAGCAAAGGTGTCCAAAATATATCATAGGGATATCCTAAAAATATATTTAGGATATGTGATATCTTCAAGATATCCTTATGATATATTTAGAACATTCCTACTGTGTGGGTTGTTATGTCATATTATATACGACATAATATCTCTTCAGAGATATTTCCTTATGTATACGCGTTTGTTGTTGACAAGACGACAAATTAAGTTTCGACAAATTAAAGACAACAAATTAAATTATTAAGCCGAGACTCAAACCGAAATGTTTCGATTTTCCACTAAATTATTAAGCTGAGTTTCGGATCCGAGTGTTTTAAGATTTCGCTAAACCATTAAGCCGAGATTCGAACTGATGTGTTTTCAGCCTCCGCTAAATTATTAAGCCGAGATTCGAACCGATGTGTGTTGTGTTTCCGCTAAATTATTAAGCCGAGATTCGAAACGAAGTGTTTTGAGTTTTCGCTAATTTATTAAGCCGAGTTAGTTAAGCGTGGGATAATTTTTTAAAGTTGCTGAAAGAAAGTTTCGTATTTGCAAAAGTGTATTATCGAAAATGACGTAAAGTATGCGTATTTCGCTCTGCATCGTCTCTTAGATGCCAACATGCCTTAATGTCACTCTACTCCTTCAGTAACACGCCCAGAATCTTGAAAATAATTTTCTAATAGCCTAAAGCTGCATTAAATCCATCATTAGCATTATATTCGAATTCTCGCGCATGCGCAGTGGTAAATTGTTGCACAATCTTTACCAACATATTGTCAGTAAAATGGGAAATTCATAGTGATTAAATATCTTTCAACAAGTCAATGGATTTCATTAATATTACATTAATTTGTACTTTATTATTCTTTAAAACAATTTAATACAAAAATTATACACACACACACACACACACACACACACACACACACATACACACACACACACACATATATATATATATTAAATTTATCAAATTAAATTTATCAATAACTGTTAGAAATTTCTCTCCATCATATATGTCTTAATAAAGAATATAATAATAATGAAAATTAAACATATTTTATACTCATAAAACTTATAATCATATGAGTAAATGATTAAATTTAATAAAAAAAAATTTATTACATTTTTATTAATATGTAGTAAATTATATACTAAATTACTAATTAGAAGTAACTTATCTATTAACTTATCTATTAACTTACTAAGTATATTATCACAGTGTGATATGTAATATAATTTTATATTAAGTACTATTTCGGTGTCAATCCTCTTAAATATAAAAATTATTTATATTTATACGTAATGCTACCATATTAGTAAACTGAAATTAGAAGGATAATAAAAATTAAATAATTTTCTTTGGACTTTGACTTTTAAGCTGAAAGACTTCATTACTCATATAAGTATCAAAATTATTGCATTATTATAATCTATAATATGTATAAATAAACCATTGCAAATTCCAAATAGCTTATCTATAAAATAATCATTGCTACTCATCATTAAATCTACAAAAAAAGAAAAAATCTTGTGCTATTCTTACAGATGTCACTATATTAATTTACAGAACAATTACTAAAGATTTTGTTTGTAAGTCGTTCAGTCTTGATAAAATTTATTTTTATTTCGATGTTGTAAACTTAAACTTATATTCTATAACTTATGATGTATTATCCAATGAGACATCTGAGATCCTTGTACATTATGAGTAATTCCTAAAACATGAAATCAATATCTAAAAAAATATTATTTCGCTACTTCAATATTTCACATTTATATAAGACACGTTTGTCTGCTTGATGCAATGTTCATATTAATGAAAAAAAAAAAATTTCTTAATTATATATTATATACATTAAAGATACTTACCCACATATTGAGCAAAATAGGACTTTGTGTGAACATCTTGTTTCCTTTAAAAGCGTTGTCTAACTCTTCGCGCGAGATTAGTTTTAATTTAAGAAGTAATCCTAATGCAGCTTGCAAAGAAACCAAATTAAGAGATGTAATGCGATTATTAGAATCTCTGACAACACTTAAAGGATAACTAAAACCATAAAAATATTTTTTCGTTAGAGAGGATTAATAATAGATGCAAGATCATTATACATACCATATCGTAGCATGTTATAATTATAAAATGTTATTATAATATACTTATATTTATAAGAATATTTAAATAAATAGATAAATACTCTCCAAAACTTACCTGTCAAGTTGTAAAAATTGAGTCGGATATTCAAATCTGTGAACTTCTTTAAACGGAATCGACACATTTGTTGCTTTCAATAATGTCATCAGACAGGATTTGCTGAATTTGGTGAAGGCTCCCACAAATTCGTGCATTAACATCCAACCTCCCTCATTCATGTGAAACAAAATTGTTACTCCGTCAACAGAATCTATTAAAATCAAAGAAGGTGCTATAAATCATTTATTCGAGCAATTAATCGTAAGTTCAGCGGTATTATACATACCGATTTTCTTAAATAAAAAAGATATTTTTAATGACGTGTTGTAGTTGGAAAATCCCTCTTCGTCATTGTTGGGAGACGAGTTCCAGAAGTTTGTGGCTATCATCGCTCTCTCACTGTTGTTACTTGGGGAGGTATGACACGGTTCGACCGTTCTGTAAGAGTCTTCACTCGTGAATTCTTTGTTAGCTTCGTAATTCCCCTCTTCATGCGCCAACAAACTGCTCGGTGAACATATCGTGGTCGAAATGGACCTCTTGCTGTAATTCTGTAAAGGATCATTGTTTTGAATCCTCGCCCTGGTCCATGTTTCTGGCAAATTGCGCTGTGGCAATATGTCCGGTTGATAGTGGTCCTGCGTGTTTGTCACTGGTGATGGATTATAGATCATCCGCATCGTGTAACCCTCGTCGTTCAAGACAGACCTGTCAATTGAGCTGGACGAAGGTGCGACATGATTGACGACATTGTTGACAATATTGCCTTGCAATTGCGTGGCCGATTGCAAAGGCAACTGTTGTTCCTCTGGTTTCTTCTGTAAGTTGTACATTACCGGGCCAGCCTCGTAGATTATTTTTGGCGTATAATTACCATCGCTGTTCACCTTGGCATCCTCATACGTCTTGTATTCCGTCGACACTAAGCCAACATTCGATTCGCTCCTCACATTATTCCCGTAATAATTGTAATCTGCCGCACGAGTGTTCGTGTTTTTATTCACTGTCGGAGTGTAACTCTGCTGATTATCATTGGGCAAATACAATGCAAGATTTGTCATGTCATAGCTGTTGTGTACGTTTCGTTCCACCTGTGCCTCAACGTTCTGATGAGATATGAATGGATTCGTTTCTTTCAGTTTGGTCCGTTCTTCGTTCTTGTAAACGTTTCCGTGTTGCATATTCGCATTAGCAAACTCGTTCGCGCTTTGATGACAGCTAGACGGATTGATGTTGGCGGTATTAGAATGTGAAGCTGTTATCGTATTCAAAACCGATTGGTAAAGCAGCTTATCGATGTACAATTGTGCTAATGTCTGTTTCTCGGCGTCGTTGGAAAGAATTTCCGGTAACGTTGGAAAAGATGCGTTCGTCACGGGTGGATTCGAATTTGCATCCAAGAACGGACTGTTCATCATACCTTTTCTCAAGTCGCTGGACGATGATGGTGTTTTCCCGCTTGAAATATTCTCGAGAGCCGATGTATTTTTGGCAATATTTCCGTGCCTGTTGAACGCCAACGACTCCGAGTCAGAAGAGATAAAAGATGATTGAATACACGGGCCATTCGCGTCGGCTTGATGCGAACTGACGAAAACCTGATTCGTTAACTGCCCGAGATTGTGAGCATGAGTTCGAAGTTGTGAGTTGTGAGGATTATGAACTTGATGTTGTGAACTGTGAGGAAGGTCCTTCGTGTCAGATATGGGGAATGCAGCATGATGGTATTGATTGTGATATTCACCGAACGAATGCGTAGAAGACGAGGCTGTCGATGATGGTGGTGGTCTTAATGAATTCGTGATTTCTTGATTCATGGGACTCTCGCAACTAGGATTGTAATTATACGTTTTTGATGACAAGCCGGCGTCGTTCTCGTTGCTTTGGAATGCATTTGGTATAATGCTCTCTAATTGATTATTCAGTTCCTTCACAAGTAGCCTGAGGGCATTATTGAACTGAAATAGCAACGTGATATAATCGAGGCACGTGTTTTTGGTTTCTGGCGGGAACTTCAGCAGATGGCGGAAAGAATTGGTCAGCTCTATCTGCAGCGTCGTGTTCTCCTGCATGAACTGTGCGAACATCTGTCTCTCAACATCGCTGGAAAGAATGTCCAACGTTAAGTTCGTTACAGACGACTTCATATTTTTATCTAGGAACGGACTGTTCGCTACATCCTCTATCAAGTCGGTGAATAACGATGGTGTCTTCGTGCTCGTGTTACTCCCGACAGACGAGTATCCGTAGCAGCGATTCGTCGGTGTATTAAACCGATCAGTGTGTTCATTGAAAGGCATGAAACCCGGCGGTACTGATCGCGACTGCTGATTATTCTCGCGATACGCGAAGTTCGGTCCGGATGAGACTTTGGGCGATTCATTGAATTCCTCCGTGGTCGTACACTTGTTGTTATAGCTGTTGATGACCGGGTTTTCCTCCGCAAAGCAATACGATGGTAGGCGGTTTAAATTATTTACCACATATTTCGGTAAACTCTCCATGTCGACGCAGTCACCCTGAATGTAGGAAAACAAAAAAAGAAACAATCAAAATATTAGTAAAAGCAATTAAGAGTCCAAATTGTACAGCATTTAATTAATCAATGTTATATAACGGAACATTGCCTGTCAGAATTATTTTTTATTAAACACCAAAAGAATTAAATTGGAAATGGAATTCTTTTAAATAAAAGAAGATTTAACGGACCATAATGATTATTCTCCGATTTTCGAAAAGTTTCTACATATTTGACTTTGTTTGCATTTACTATAACGCGATGTTTCAGGATACTATATAAGAGTATTAAGGTGACAGTTTGTAAACATTCACTTGAGCATACACTGAGATTCAAATACGATGCAGACTGGCTGACAATATTACGACTCTCTTTCCTACTACGTCTACTTAGCCAACTTTTTCGAAAAAACTTTTATTTTAATTCGATTTGTTTTTTTTATGCTACATCAGTTTTAAGGTAGAGTCTAATCTATAATGTGCTTTTTGCTTCCTGTTTCTTGTTTTTTTTTTTAGTTTAAAGCTTGATCTATAATGTGTTATTTGCTTCCTGTTACTTTTTCTTTATCTCTTTCTGACTCAAGCCTTAAACCTTAAACTAAAAAAAGACAGAAAACAAGAAACAGGAAGCAAAGAACACATTGTAGATCAGGCTTAACGCTTAAGGTTAAAAAGAGATAAAAGAACAGAAACAGGAAGCAAATAACATATTATAGATCAAACTTAATGGACGTTGGAGGAAGGCCAAAATTGTTAGTTGTTTTGTCACAACCACCTTGAGATAATTGCGTTACCGAATAGTTATATTGCGTATAAGACTGTTTAACGATTTGTTTTCTTACTCTAATTTTTTAATCCCATTTTTGTTTGCGCTGATGAAAATCCAAACCGATGACTGAATCGTACGTTCCGTTTGTTTTTTATCTTATTTATGATTATATAAAATTGATTAATTAAATTTTGTACGCTACAACAGCAAAAAGATTATTTCTTTTGGGCTTTTATCTTCCTTTACTAATATTTTAATTTTATATCCAAAGAAAAAAAGAGAGAAAGTTGGGATCAAATAAAGTGATATCTCTTCTCGAAAGTATCATCGAGACTAGAATTGTCATGCCTAATGAGGACTTTTAAAATAAGTCAGACTGCGCAAAAGAACCTGGGAAAAATTATCACTTTATGAGATCACGGCGATCCTACGAAAATAATAGTAATAATAATAACAGCATTTTCAGCATTCTAATGTTTCTTTATTATATATGTAATATGTCACAATACCATATATACACGACATGAACATAAAGTTCCAATTTTTCCCGGCGATTAAATTAAAGAAAATACATGAAATATATTTGCATTCTGATAACAAAGAAAGAACTAAATTATAAAAAAAAATTATGGATTTGAGAAATAATAAATTTTAACTGTAATCCTAGCTCAATTGAACTGTAAATCCTAGCTCAATATAGTTATATAACAGTTATATAACAGTTATAAATTATAGTTAAGTAATTATATAATATTTAATAACTATATAATATACAGAGACTTTTTTATATATATTTATTTAATAAATGATTCATTACTTTTTTGAAAACTTTTAGAAATTAAAAGAAAGTACTCGTCAAAATTGCAAAACAGGTAGAAGTATATACTTTGATAATATTGAATAATTTTGGTTTCTAAACACATCTAAACACATCTAAATACATCCTTATTTTTAAGTAAATAAGAATACTATTGTCAATTTACTGTTGATGATGTGTGTGTATATATGTAAGATCAATAAATTTTGTATAGACGTATTTTTCCGAAAATTTAATAATTTTCGAGATATTAACAATATCAGAAATCAAAATAAAAATTTTAATGTTTGCTATCAACATATATATGAATGACATCTCTCATCAGAGACCAGCGCCACATATGTGTGACAGAAAAAATTGTTTTTCATGCCCGTATTATCAAACCAACTGTTTGTACTAAAAAAAATACGACGTGATTTGTGAAGAGAGATGTGCAAAAAATCTGGATAGCAAATATGTTAAACAGATAATAATTATTACAATAAATGTTCAAAGTATCTACCATCCCAAGTAACAAGATGACGTCAAATGATGTTAGAATTGACATTATTAACGTTAGAGATGTCATAAATGCGTTATTAAAACATTAGTTAACGTCATCATGTTGTACTATTTTGATGAATATTTTTTCTCTATATGTAAGTTTTCAAAAAAAACAAACTTTTAGACTCATCTGCATATACATGCTCATCTGTGCTGCATATATTATATATCTAATATATACAGAGCTTTATATATACATACATACAAACGCACACACACACATACACACACACATATATATATATATATGCATACAGCTGTGTAAATTATAGTTATAATCATAAATTTGGAGTATATATGTGAAAAATTATAATGTTATACATATATTTAAAGATTGCTAAATATGTGAAAACTACTTTACAAATGTTAGAAATATTAAAACATGTTATAAACATGTTATACATCTATTCCTCTAATTAAAAAGAAATGTTTAAATTAAAAATTTCTTAAAAAAAAAAAAAATTAAAATTTTAAAGAAGTATGTAACACATACACAAAATGTATGTATATATAACATACACAAATATAAAAATTCGCACTGTTCCCTTTGCGATATATATATATATATATATATATATATATATATATATATATATATATATATATATATATATATATATATA